AAATAGATTTTTATTGTACTGTGCTGGCCTGAAATTTATTATAAGGACTGAATTCATTCTCATGTATAGCTTTTCACAATAATAGTTTTAAAAGACGTATTTGGAGAAAAAAGTGAAAAACTGAAAAGCCACGGAGTATAGATTTAGTAAAGGTTTATTGCAAATAAGACTCCCTAGGCTGGCAGAACATTAATAATAATAATTAATAATCTACAAAAGTAATTTGTTTTTTTTTCTCCTTTGCATGGTGTACTTGGCACTATGGAAAAAATGTACAAGAAATCTGAGACACTAATCAAGAGTCAAATTTTTATACATTACTTTCACAGACCTAATGTAACTTTAGAAAAATTTTATGTTACTGTTTTACCTTTTACAATGTTTTGGGAAGTCATCATGGGCTCTAAATGGAAATAAGATGGGTTTTTGACCATTAAAAATGAAGAAATTATCTACTTCTAGCCGCCCACAAAGCAAAACAGCCAGTTACAATAGCTGTTTGCTTTGTAGTGTCTTCTTTTGTTTGACAAAGGTTTGTTATTCCATTAACAAGTGTGTTCTCAGTCTCCTTTATACCAATTAAAATGGCTCTCTCATTTCATGATCAAATAAAACAAATAGACTACTGCTCATCCCATCTCCGTTTACTTCTACGCGCCAAGCTAGGGATTGTGATTTCCCCTGCTCCTGTATACACCCTCTTGCTAGCTCTCATCGAGCTAGCACAAGTGTAAGTAACAGTGTAGCTGTGGTTGCACTGGTAGCACCAGTAAAGGCACAGCTGAGCTCTGCCCACTACAAACCTGCCCGAAACTGATGGGTATGTACTCAGCAGGGCTCAGCTATGCCTCTGCTGCTGCTGCTCCTCCCTGTATGTCACTGATCTGTATACTCAGGCTAGTATTTGGACGTGGGCAGGGGAATCCCATCTCTAGCTCCTAGTGTAGCGATAGCCATAGATGGCTAGCAACTCCTGATGTTCCTAATGTAAATAAAAAGCTTCCCCCTCAAATTCCTTTCTTCCTGAACGCTTGAGAGGGAAAAAAAAGGGCCCTGCAGCATTTATAGTGGGGGGGTCCTGTTACAGAAAAATACTGAGACACAAACAGTTGAGAGTAGAGCTTGTTGGAAAATCTTTTTTTTCCACCTGTGGAAAATTTTGACTTTTTAGTGGAAAATCCCAAACTGAAAATTTTGATTCAGAAATGCCACTGCTATGCCTCAGGAGAATTGTTGTTTGGGTATCCCATGTTCTCATTCTCCTCTAGGGGCTGGGCTCCCTGCCTGGGCTATGTCTCCCCTCTGGCTTGACCCCTGGCCACAGTGCATTATGGGAGATGCTGTCCTTCTGAGGAACCTGACCCGTACAGGAGAATGCGCTCATGAGGCGCCCAAACTACAGCAATGGTGACAGCAATCCAAATCAAAACATTTTGTGGGGGGAGCAGGTATGGGTGTTCAGTTTTTGATAAAAGGTCAAAACTTTCCACGGAAAGTGGCCACTTTTGGAAACCTAATTTTCCATTCAGAAAGGTAGAAAAATGGCAGCTGGCTCTTGTTGAAAGATTTGGGCTCTGATTCTGCTGGAGAAATCATTTCCAAAGTACTTGGAGAGGTGCTCTGAGGGCTTGATGATGCAAGGTGCTGAGCACTTTGCTCCAATCCAGCCAAGCCTGTGAAAAGCACATAACTGAGCACAAGTAGCCCTACTGAAATCTGAGCAGTTTGCTCCACACCTTTCAAGATCAAGTCTCTAATTAGAATGAATGAAATGAAATGAAACCACCAGCGATAGGCAGAGTGAAATCATACTTTATGATCATCTTAAAATGAGACCACTGCTAAGATTGTTATCCCAATGTTAATTACAGAATTAGAACATAAGACATTTTAGGAACAGAAAGATACCAAAAGGTCATTTTGCTTTTCTGAGTTAATGTTAATCCTGTTTTCTTGCTTTTTTCACGATACTCCTACATATTTCCATTATTTCTTCAAAGGGAAACCCAGATTTCCCTTGATACATTTTCTGTAAACTGCCTTCCCCAGAAACCCTTCTTTTGAAGTACTTTTCCCTGGGTGCCCCATCTGCTTCTTGTTTTAAATAATGACAGTATTCAGTGTCGTGATCAAATTTCAGTGATTTTCAAAGATTATTATGGAAGAAAAGTTAAATCTAAAATCCACTAAGGCGGTAACTTTTCATGAGGTTTCCTAGGTAGCTCCATACATTCTACTCTTGCAGCTGATTTTCTCCGTGACAGAATGTCCATATGTTACATAATATCTTTGTAGACAAAGAGTCTAATATTGAACCCAGAGGACCTGAGTTTGGTATGCAAGGTTTCCACTTTCTTTTAAAATTATATTTCTCGGAAATATGGACAACGGCATGAATTCCTGATTATATTGATAGAAATTAGAGATGTGAAGGCTTTCTAGATCATCTTGTCTAGTTCCTTGCTAATATAGGAATCTTCCATACAGCAGTCCCTGGGCAGATGGTTCTCTCAAATGCCTTGTCATGTCCCGGTTTGAGATCCTACTGATAGGACACTTCTCTTGTGACGCTATTCCAGTCTGATAGACTTCTTTCTAAGGATTTTCCCCTCCCCAATAGCCAGTTTACATTTTCCTTTGCTAAGTTTCATTCCATTATTACTAGTTATCCCCTTCCATTTCCTCAGATGAATTTAGGCAATTTTGCCCTTGCATTGGTGCTCAAATAGAAATTGCCAGACTGGATGAGACCTGAGGTCCACCTGGTCCAATACCCTGCTTCTGACGGTGGCCAGCACCAGATGCTTCGGAAGGTGTAGGAACTATGCAATAGGCAGATGTGGGGTAATCTGACCTCCACATAGTCTCATCCTGGTTTCTAATAGTTAGAGATTGTCTTAATCACTGAAGCATGAGATTTAATAGTCATTCCCCCAAAATGTTTATTAACATTAATGATGATAACTCTGAATATTCTTCTTCTTATCCATATAAACGCCCAATCCCTTTTTGAACCTTGCTCAGGTCCTGGCTTCAGTGATTTCCTGTGGCAGTGAGATCTCCATTGATAACATGGAGGTGCTCAGATACTACAGTGATAAGTGTCGTATAAGTACCTAGACAAATAAATACCTAGACTGGTGATGGAAGAAAAACATTTCTTTATTCATGTTCTTTTAGTTTGTTTCTTCAAGTGCAGTGTAATAGAGGAATCTTCCATTTGGTGTGATGTTATTCCTGTTTTATTGTTTACTGTCAAGTAATCTTTAAAGAATTTCACTGAAACTACAATAAAATACCTTTTAAAATAATATAACTGACTGTAACATTTTAATAGCTGCAATGTTTAATAGTCACAGACTGTCAGTTCATAATAGCTTATGTAATACAGTATGAAATTACGAGCCTTATTACTAGGGAAAGTCCAAGATAAATTAGCATGATCATTTTTCTAGCTCTTGGTGAATGTCATGCATGCATAATGCTGTTTAAATGTTGTAATAAAATCATAATGTTAGAATTAAGGCACATTTCTTATTCACTCTGCCAAGGAGTTATAAATAGACTTGGAAGTGCAGGTTAGATTAAAAGGTTTTCAATTACTTTGCTGTTCTGTTTTTTTTCCCCATAGTCTTAAAAAGAGAGACAAAAAGAAAAATATAATTCCTTACACATTTTACTGTATTTTTAAAAAGAGAGCAAGGAAATGACTGAAAAAAAAATCAAAACAGGTTTTTATTGAGTTGTGGAGGGGAATGCTATTTGCTTGATAACTTCATTTTTCCCTTTAACAATTTTAGGTGAAAGAGAGAATAGTGATCCTGTACTCCTACCGTTTGAACCATTTCTTTTAGAAAACATTATTTTCTAAATGCAAAAATATCTACAATATTAAATAAATAGTATTCTGTGTTTTTATAATTCAAAAGTCTACTGTCTTATTAGTGCTGTGCTCTTGTGCTAGAGCTAGATAATTATAAAAATAAATATTTCATAGAACATAGCCAGATCATGACTCCAAGATAAGTGAAGAGAAGGGTAAGGATTATGGTGAATTGTGTTTTTGTGCCCTCTACTGGATGGAATTAGAACTGTTCAACTATATATGGAGAGCCAATACTGCTAAGGCAAAATTTCCTTTCAGTTAAAATAGTAGAGGCTTAGGGTGACATCTGGACACCATTGAAGTCAATGGGCACTTTGGTGTTTTGAGACAGGAGGATCTAAGGTGTACTCCTAGGGCCAATGAAGTTTGGAATGGTCACGGTGTGCAGCGTAGTAGCAACCATGAAATTCTGGTCACCCACCAATTTGCTGCAGTATTATCTTGATTTTACACATGGCACAGAGATTGAGATTGAGTTCGGTGTCTCAGTTCAAGTCAGAAGTACCCCATTCTGAGCCCCATGCTCTGATTACTAGAAATAAAGAATATGCATTGAGAAAGTAGAATTTTTCCTAAATATAATTGTCATTTTTATGAGGTGTTGAATGTGTTGTAGCCAGTCTGAATGATTTTTAAACAAGTAGATAGAACTAAGATGCAATGAGCAGTCGTCTGTAACTATATAACCACTGTAATACTGTATTGCTTCCTAAAGTTGACAAGTGATATGGTGATAGGGTTTCATTGTGGTCATTTTGATTTTGTTAATATTGAGTCATTTTGGTTGTGGTTTGTAATATTAAAGGGAAGCAAAAGCATGCCATATATTTAACCTATCCCAAGCCTCTTCCCAGCTCCCCTCCCCACTCCTCTTTTTCACTGATGCTCAGTTGACTTTTTTTATATTCTCTCTTCCTCTTTTTTCCCCCCTCTCTTCTCCCCGCACACAGAGGCTGTGTTCAAATCACAGGCTAAACTGAAATGGAAGAATTATTACAATGTCCATTTCACAGAGTTATCTCAAAAGACACAGCTTGCTCCCTCAAAGCTATTTTTCATCTTGGCTTCACTAAAGGGAAACCTTACTAAATGTCATGTTTGCATCTGTTTGTAGGAATTTTGCTGGCCCTACTTATTTGGAGTGATTGCTGTTCCTTCACTGATTCAAGTTGGGATTTTGCCCTTTCTCCCTGAAAGTCCTCACTTCCTCCTCCTCGAAAAGAATGACACAAGTGGAGCAGAAAAAGGTACAGGGTAATAATCATTTGCCACATAGTATAAATGTTGATATTAAAGGGATGCTTGCTGGCAAGTAATTTTGAACATCATGCTTTCCGTAGCCTAAAAACTAAATATGATCTTATTAGTTTTTTCCCTTCACCATTTTTTGTGTAAGTGAAGTAGCTGCCGACTTGATTGATAACTGAAGACCTCTAATTTTCCACAGAACAGGTACAGCATGGACAATGGTGATGGAAGTTTTCCCACATTGCCGTGTCATTCTGTCTCACCCTTTACCTGGCAGGATTTATATCCAATAAACACTTAAATTTAGCAGAGTTACTAGATGTCAACTTTCAGAGTAACAGCCGTGTTAGTCTGTATTCGCAAAAAGAAAAGGAGTACTTGTGGCACCTTAGACTAACAAATTTATCTGAGCATAAGTTTTCGTGAGCTACAGCTCACTTCATCGAATGCATCCGATGAAGTGAGCTGTAGCTCACGAAAGCTTATGCTCAGATAAATTTGTTATTCTCTAAGGTGCCACAAGTACTCCTTTTCTAGATGCAAGTATGTAGAACATCTGTCCTAGCCTAAGGTAGAAGCACTTGACAAAGAGAAGGGGTTCACAGACTCTGTGGAATCTTGCAGGTACTGAAGGAAATGTACATTATGTCTAGTTAGTGATTAGTTCTTAGCTCAGATTTGAAAAGAGATTGGAGATTCAGTGACACGGAAAATGCTTTTCCAACAGGAAAGAGCTGCAGAAGGCCTGCCTGCTAACAGTAGTTAGCTTGAGTGACAGGGATAGGAAGGAGGTGGGTGATAAATGAGCCAAGAGGATGAAGGAAAAGGACCAAGATTGTCAAGCCCGAGTGCCTAAAGTTGTGCTCCTAAGTCCTCATTTAAACTCTTAAATAATTGAACTGAATCAGTGTCACAGTGTCCATTGATTTCTGTCAAAGCTGCGAGGTACTCACCACTTCTTGAAAATCAAGTCACTTGGCAGATGTCTAAATATGGACTTAGGTGCCTCACTTTAGATTCCTGCTTTTGAAAGTCTTGGCCAGGGTCTTTGAAGTAGGCTGGAGTAGGTCTATGGAGAATTTTAAAGCAAGAGAGAAGTTTTGAATGAGGTCTGCAAAAGAATCCTATGAGCTATTTGTGGGGGTGTTGTGGTAACTTTCCTAATTATATTAAAAAGGGTTGGATTTTAAAGTGACTCACATACTAGTGTTATTTTTTTCCAGCAGTACTTGTTCATTTAAAAATACCACAGATGACTATGAAAATTGTACCAAACAAAGCCGTTCTTTGTGTGCTTTTGCATCATAAATTAATACATTACTTAAAGAGTTAATTATCTCACAGTACATTTTTTTTAACCTATTTCCATGGTAAAGGCAGAATTTTGAGACATGACATAATTTTGATATGTCTGAGGGAAGAATCCAGCTCAGGACTGTGGTTTTGTGGCTGTCAGATATTTGATCATTTGTGAAATGTCTTCAAGTGCATTTTTGCATTCCTTTTGGCTGGGTCAAACTCTCAGAACAAATCAGCATTTAGAATTAATAAACCACACCACTAGATGGAGAACAACATACTGTACAGGTTATAGTAATTCATTTACAATAAACTTAGGAACTTTACTTTGTTTCTGGCATGAATACTATTGAATATTCTGTTCCATTCTGCATAAATTATCTTATATCATCCGTGTCACTTTACAGAGTAGCAGCCGTGTTAGTCTGTATTCGCAAAAAGAAAAGGAGTACTTGTGGCACCTTAGAGACTAACCAATTTATTTGAGCATAAGCTTTCATGAGCTACAGCTCACTTCATCGGATGCCACTTTAGTATCTGAGTACCTTCCAGTAGTACATTGTGACATGACTAACATCTGTTATGTGGGTTCATTCTCTCTCTCTCTCTCTCTCTCATCCTCTCTCCAGGGGGAGATAGGTGCATGCAGTGGAGTGTTTTGTTTTAGAGGGTTTTGTTGTGGTTGTGGTACGTGTGCTTTGTAAATACTTAGAATACTTCTAGGTTTTATTATAGGTGTTCTGTTTTAATCCACACTTCTCTGATCTGGGCAAAAGTCTCTCTCTCTCCATTTCCTTCCATGCAATTTTATAAGCAGTAAACACACACAATAAATAAATATTATTAATAAAAACAAAAAAAGTGCAAACCAAATAGGACAACTCCCATGTTTCCGCACATGTCCCTGGCTTGGTTTCTGGTGAGCACAACCACCTGAAGCTAAAATTCATCCCTGTGTAGTGGGTGAGCACAAGAGCTATGTGTCATTTTAGCCTTATTTTGAGGAGTTAAGTGGTGCATGGGTCTGTGCTAACACTCCATCCTGAGAGATACCCAGATGCTGACTTTAAACAGGTTCAACTGCACCTGATCAAATCCCATCTGTTAGTTACATCCTTGAGCTGCCTCTGATGGGAATTAACCCCTGAACCGATAGGCCATACCCTGGTTCAGCAGGGCCTGCTCTCAGGAACACTACTTGGATAGAGTACAGCAGGGCTTTTGAGGCTTATTCCAGACTGTGCATAGAAGACCTGTATACTCTATTGTGTTGCCACTGATGTCTACGCTGCATTGTAAATCCAGGATCAGATTCTGGACTGAGCCAAACCCACTACCATCCATATGCAAATCTTTCTGACTCAGGTCAGCACCAGATCCTAGGACCCACCCATTGACACTCAGGTCCTGTCATTTTGCAGTATGGATGCAACTCAAGCCACAGACCCAGGTCAGAAGGTCTGTGTAATGCAATATGGATATGTTAGGATGTTTGTGAGACCCAGGTCCAGAATTATAAAGCCAGGTTTACTATCCAGTACTGTGAATACTCAAGTGTGGGCTTGAAATATTGAGTCCACAAGCATGGGTCTCACATATCGGGGTTTACAAATTTATGGCTGCCATTAAATATATATTTACTTGAAAGTATGTGTAACCCTTCTACCAGTCAGAGTTAGAAGCAGTAAGTACTCCAGATGTAACTGCCAGTCAGCAAAATGGGTGCAGCCACCCCCAGTGAGGAAGTAGTTGCTGGCGTCCCACTTGCTGGTCAGTTTGAAGGCTTTACCCTGGTCCGGTTTACGCTTCAGGGTTTCCATGTACAGTGAGTGGATAGCTGCCTTCAGGGTCCTCTCCAGCATGCCTCTGGCACTCGGGGTGACGATGGTGTTGTCGTCGGACCTGATCTGCGGCATCCAGACTCCCAGCTCCTGGCGCTCCTCGCACCACTCCCAGCAGCAGCCGATGCGCTTCCCCAGGCGATGCATGGCATTGCAAGCGCGGGACCACAGTGAAGCAATGTTGCTCCCATCCCATCCGAATTCGCTATCCAGGGAACCGCTCAGGAAGCTGGTGATGTCTTGGTTGGAGGGGGCTCTGCTGATCCGCTTCTTTGTCACGTCATGGAAGGCGTTCACCACGATGTTCCGTACCATGGCGTCGGGACACATCAGCAGGCGGAAGGCATGGGTGATCACCGCAGTGTCACACAAGTCGCCCATGCGGGGACATTGGCACTGCCATGCCTATGGGCGACGTAGACCAGCTTGTTGCTGGCTCTCTGGGGAAGAAACAGCCACTTCTTCACCAGCTGCTGGACGATCTTGTCTGCCTTCACCACGGTGGATCCCCTTAGGACGAACGAGATGTGGGGGATCAGGAAGGTGTTCAGGACGTTTATCTTCTGCCATGGTGCCAGCAGGGAGACGTCTATCTTGGTGGCATCCTGCAAGATCTCCTGGATGGTGTCCTCGGGTGTCTGCCAAACACGGAAACCCGTCGGCGTGCTGGTACGCCTGCCCCTCTGCCAGGGGGATGACAGGCTCACCCTGGGTCTGGAACCCCGTCGTCTGCACCGAGTCCCTTTTGCTGCCGTCGATGTGGAGAGCTGCGCACTTCTTTGCATTGAAGCGGAGCCCCATCCAGTCGGCAGCTCAACTGGTGGCGTCTAGCATACGTTGGAGGCTCTCTGGGTCGTCCTCGGTCAGGACCAGGTCGTCCGCGTAAGCCAGGACGCTCACCCTCTCACCATGGAGGTTGAAGCCATCTGTGCCATTGGAGATCGCTCTCAGCAACTGCTCCATGTCGAGGTTAAAGATGATGGGGCTGAGGGGACAGCCCTGCTTAACTCCGCTCCGGATCGGGATCTTGGCAGTCTCCCCTTCGACCGAGCGAATGGTGGTGCTGCATCCCTCGTACGCTTCTCCAGTCAAACGAAGGAAGTTCTCTGGCATCCCAAACTCCTGGAGCGTGGCAAAGATGTGGTGGTGGGGCATGGACCCAAAATTAGCCAGGTCAAGCCACACTACCGCCCACTGCCTCTGCGCCCTTCTGGCCGTTTCAATGGTGGTTTGGAGGACGAAGTTGTGTTCATAGCAGCCCTCGCAGGACATGAAGCCTTTCTGGATGGAGCTGATGGCTCCTCCGCTCACCGACCACTCTGTGATCCTCGATGCCAGGCAATTGGCATATAGCTTGTACATCGTGGAGCAGAGGGAGATGGGCCTTCAGTTGCTGGGGTCGTCCCGCTTGCCTTTCTTGTACACCAGTACCATCATGGCCTTCTTCCAGGAGCTGGGAGTCTGGCAGAATCACTTGCACTGGTTGAAGAGCGTGGTGAGGTCCAGGCAGCTGGGATCTCGCTTTTTCAGGAGGCTGTAGGGATGTTGTCTTTCCCAGGAGCTGTGTTTTTTGTTTTTGAGAGTCTGGCCATCACTTCCTTGGGCGTATCGTCAGTCTCCAGGACACCTGCTTCGTCAACATGGGGCAGGGAGTGGAGGCACTCTGTGCGCTGCACGTCGTCCTGGGCTATGCGGTTGAATACATCCTTGAAGTAGCTGTAGAGATGCTCAGATGGGATCGTGCAGTAGGTTGAGGGCCCATCTAGGATCTCCCTAGTACAGCTTTTGGATCCTGGAATCTGCTGCTGGATCGTAGCGGCGGTAATTGGAGAAAGATGGAAAGATACTACAGTGATGGA